ATCAGTCGAGCGGCAATATATTTTCATCGGTTGCGTAACGCTGTGTGGAAGCTACCTGGTCTGTCGCTCCACACGAAGCTTCAGGTCTTCTCGGCCACGGTCATTCCCTCCCTTCTCTACGCTTGCGAAACGTGGACCCCCCTAATGGAGCATCTTCGCCGGTTGGAAACATTTAGGTTGGCCTGCCTACGATCCATCCTGGGTTTAACCAGGCTGGATTGTGTGAGGAGCTCACAAATCCTTGAAAGATCTGGGCAAAGTCCCATCGGTGAGCTCCTCCGGCAGGCAAGGCTGCGTTGGCTGGGTCATGTAGCCCGTATGCCCAGCCACCGCATGCCTAACAGCTTTTGTTCAGCCGGATCGAGGGGGCTAAACGGGCGCAGCACGGGCTAGAGAAGAGATGGAGTGATGTGGTACAGGAGGACGTGGAGCTGAGTGGACTTGCCGATGACTGGTACCAGCGGTGTCAAGATCGGCCTCAGTGGAGGAGGCTCGTGAAAGATGCTAGTCATCTCGGTCAGTCGACCCGTGGCACCTGGGTCTGCCCCGTGACCTCCTGCCAGCGGGCGTTCGACACTTCACGTGGCCTCAAGGTGCACTTGGCCTGGCACAAGCGTCGTGGTGACATCACCGCCACTTAGTGGCGAATGGCGGTTGTTGTTGTTGTGTGTGTGTGTGTGCGTGCGTGTGTGCGTGTGTGTGTGCGTGCGTTTATCCTCGGGGAGGAGCGGTGGAGCAGTGGTTCGTGCGCTGCGCTATGGACCTGGCAACCCGAGGTCAATTATCACTCGAGGCCAACACCGGTGATGCTTATTTGAACCGGTCCTGCGCCTCCCATAGGTCGACTCGGCCTCAAATTGGTACCCGGCGCGTAGTAAACATCGCCACTGGGGAGACCAAAGTCGCCGCGCTGACCTTAACAGGCGCTGCTCGCTAACCAGCACTTGCCCCAACAGTCTGTGAAGGCTACACAGGAGGATCTTTGTCTTATTTTAGCGGAAGGGGGTCGAGGCGACGCTCGCTCTGCCTGCCGCGGTGACGTTCAATAGAGGAGCGTCGCGAGTGCACTCGCTCAAAGACACCGGCAGTGCTCTCCCGTCCGCCACCGCAGCAGCAGCGGCAGCAGCAGCACGCGGCGATTCGGCGCCCACATCTAGCGATGATTTGCCGCGATACGGGGGGTCACGATCGTGTCCGAGCTTTGATGATCTTTTTTTGTGTTTATGAAGAAGGGCAGTTGCCCGAAACGTCACCTATTATGCCTGTTTTGTGTTCAGGCCACGCGCACCGTTATTTACGAACGTGTTGAGTTTTCTGAATTGTTTGTTTGTATTCTTACCGTCTCTCTGGTTCGTTCAGTCTGCCCGGTTTGCACCGTCTGTTTGGCTCGCTCTGCTCATCTCGCGTGCTCCGTTTATTTCATCTTCGAGCAGTCTCAGTATTTTTGTGCAGCGCCTTTCGCGAAAAGATGGCCGGCCCTGGCTCCCTCCACCGCCTCAGTCGGTTCACAAAGCGGCACTGACGAGCATGGGGAAGTATGGTCAACCCCCCCCCCCCTTGCCAATCACAGCCCACGTGGGGAAGTATGGTCAACCCACCCTCCCCCTTGCCAACCACAGCCCACGTGGAGAAGTATGGTCAACCCCCCCCCCCCCCCACCATGCCAACCACAGCCCATGTGGGGAAGCATATTTTTGTTAAAATCTCTTAAAAATATTTAATTCCTCACAATATCTATTGAAACATCGCGACATCAGCAATGAACGCTCTAAATGAACATGTATATTTTTTGCCATTACCATCGGTGCTGTCTACAAAACCATTTTGTGGAGTAATTGGGCAGCGTGGTGACGATGATGTCATCATTGGTTTTCGTCGTCAATTCAATCCTTTAACGACGGTGTGTGGGAGGCCTTCATCCAGCAGTGGATTGGCCCGAAAAACGGCTGTAAATTCACTTCACTCCACCGAGAAAGGAATTTTTGAGTCAGTCTGAAGGATTGTTATCGTGCACTCTGATGACTGAAAGTCCATCACGAGTTCTCTTTCCAGTTCACATATTTATTTTACGTTCCAAGCAAATTCCATTTAATTCGAATTAAAAATTCTTGTTAAATCGATGCGCGAGATGGAAATGTGCGTCCTGACCCAAAAGAGCGTCCCAGAAGAGAGCGCACGTCCTTGGTACTGTTGTGGAGGGCGCGCTTTGTGCCAGAGTACACCGTCCGATGTACACCGTGCCCTGTACACCGTGCCCTGTACACCGTGCCCTCTACATCGTGCTCTGTACACCGTGCGGTGTACACCGTGCGGTGTACTACGATGTACGACAATGTCAATCCTTTGACGATGGTGTGTGGGAGGCCTTCACCGTACTACACGTTGTGTATACCGTACTCTCCACCGTAGCACTGTCTCGTCATAGCCACCTCGGTATCCGTGCATGTCCCTGTTGTCTTTGTGCGCATTCTGTGTTCATGCCGCTGCGCTACGAACACGGCGACGCGAGTTCGATTCCCGCTCAACGGCCAACACCGGTGACGATTGTCTGAATCGGTCCTGGGCCTTCCCTAGGTCGACTCAGCCTCAAATTAGTACCTGGTGCGGTGTGTAAACATCGCCACTGAGGGGAAAAAGGCGGCCGGGCCTGGTGGTTACCCGCCCTCTCGCGTGCCGTGCCGGCCTTCAGAGGTGCTACTCGCTCACAGGACTTGCCCTAATAGTCTGTGAAGGCTACACGGGGGATCTTTGTCTGTCTTTGTGTGTGCTTTCCTGTTTGTGTGTTGTGTTTGGCTTATTTGTTGCGTGCGTGTTTTGCGGGTCTGACCTTAATGTATGTAGTGTTTGTGCATGAGCCATTGTGCGTGTTCACCACTGTGTGTGTGCGCCTCAGTGTGTGTGTTCATGGCTGTTTGTGTTCACGACTGTGTGTGTTCACCACTGTGTGCGTGTTCACCACTGTGTGTGTGTGTGCATCTGTCAGTCATCTCAGGCAGGTCACCCATAATACCTGGGTCTGTCACGTGACCTGTCAGTATGCTTTAGACATTCCACATGGCCTTAAAGTGCACCTAGCCTGGCACAAGTACCGTCGTGATGTCACCGCCAGTTAGTGGCATTTATACTTTTCCATTGTTTGTGCGTGTGTCTGGGGAGCGGTAGTGGAGTGGTTTTCACATTGTACTCCTAACCCAGTGTACCGAGTTTGATTCCCGCTCACGACCACAAACAGTGGCGAATATCTGAACCGGTCCTGGGCCACCCTTAGGTCGACTCAGTCGTATATGACTGCTGTACCTGGTGCAGCGTGCAAACATCAGTATTAGGGAGACAAAAGCGGCCGGGCTTGATGTTGGCCACCCACCCACCCTCTCGTGTGCTGTGCCAGCCTTTCTAGGTGCTCGCCAACAGCAATTTCCCCAACAACCTATTTAGGCTACACGGGGGATCTTTTCCATTGTATATGCAATGGCATTCATCATGACAAGTGTAGTGGCATAGAAGAGTAGCGGCATAGCGCCGGCTGCTGGCAGGGAAGGGGATCTGCGGCCTGCGGCAACCCTGGCGTCAGCAGGCCACGTGGTACTCCAGAGGGCACTCTAGGGGGGAAGGTGACAGAAGGGGCACACCGAGAACCCGCTGGTAAGTTCTAGAAAGGGGGCGTGAGAGTTTAAGAGGGGCCCTGCAGGGCACCTCGGGGCTGTTGTGTGGAGTGGGATCCCTGTCGTGCCGCTGAAGTCTTCGTCACCGTTCTTGTCGTCGTCTTCACCGTCCTTCTCGTCGTCGTCTCCATCTTCACAATCTCGGGGCGTCACAGTCAGGCGGCCTACCAACTCTTCCGGCTGAGTAACGTCGCCGACAATGACGGACTATAACTATAATTGTAAAGTGTGAACCCTGATGGCGCTCGTTACTAATGAAGTGCCTACAACTCTTATCGACTCCGAGTTAGTCACTACGCAAGTACTCCAATTCCCTTCACAGCAAATATAATCCGGTCCATTCCTTTCTGCTCAAACAGGGAAGTTCTTCTCCAGAGCATCAGCAACGAGTCCTGGGCAGCTCCTTGGGAAGGATGCTGGGCCCTGATGAGTGCTTGCCACAAATGAACCACGATACCTCGCTGATCTCGTCAAGTAGCATAAACTATCAGCACGCAAACTCCGGTGGTCACCCTCGCAGCAGCAGCTTTTTGGCTCGCCGTCGAACAAACACGGTCACGGCATCGCGCTCTTTCAGATGCGCTTCTACGGCCGTCTGGAATGCTCTTCCTTCCGATATTAGGAAGCTACTGGAGCTGTGCACTTTGAAATCATCATCATCTGGATTGACAAACTAATTTGTTTAGGACTGATTTTTGTGTCTAGTTTTGTCCTTCCCCCGCACGTACGATTAGCACGATTGGCTACATACACCATAGGTACAACATACATACATGATACGTATAACATACATACACCATACATACAATGTATAACATCCATACAACATACACCATACGTATAACATACACCATACATACAATGTGTGTGGATGAGTGTCGTCCGGCAGGCGAGCAGTGGTGCAGTGGTTAGCGCACTCTATACAAACCTGGTGGCCCGATTTAGATTCCCGCTCATGACTAATATGAGAAATATCTGAACTGGTCTTGGGCCTCCCCTAGATCGACTCAGCTTTATTTGAGTACCTGGTGCTGTGTCTAAATATCAACGCTGGGGAGACAAAGGCGGCCGTGCGTTGTGTTGGTCACCCACCATCGCGTGTGCCGTGCCAGCCTTCATAAGTGCTCACTAATAGCACTTTCCCCAGCAGTCTATTAGAAGCTACACGGGGATCTTTGTCTTTGTGTGTGTAATCATCAGCACCGGTCAAACAAAGGCGGCTGGGTGTGGCGCTAACCACAACCGCCCGCACGTGGCGCTCGCTTGCCAACCGCACTTGCCCCAGCAGTGTGTTCGAGGCTTTATGGGGGATCTTTGCCTTTTGTGTGGTTTCCGTAGGGAGGCGGATGAGTGGGAGGAGACGGAGGCGCTGCTGCCGCTGCTGCTGCTGCTGCTGCTCGAGTGGTGGAGCCGTGGGGCCAGACGGTGGAGACGCGGCGGCGGCGGAGCACGGCAACGGTAAAGACCTCGCGCTCTCTCTCTCTTCGCTCTCTCTCTCTGGGCTCTCTGTCTCTGCTCGCACCTCTACCTTCACACGGACGACGAGGGGTCTCCGCTCACCACCGCCGTGTCGCCTTCGCCGCAGGATGCTCGGGCAAGTGCAGTTGGCAAAGCGGCGGGTTTTAAATGTGCACGCGCACGCCGCACGTGCTAATGCAAGGACGCGCGGTGCGTTGTACAACGCGCCCGTGTGCACGCAGGCGCTCGCACGTTCACACGCACACTCGCGCAGGAGATGTAGACACGTAGTTCTACCTTAACACGCATGGCAGCACAGTGATAGACATGCTGTCACACGCACGCATACGCATACATTCGTATGGACAAACACTCACACTGGCATATACAACAAAGGCAAAGATCCCCCGTGTAGCCTTTAACAGGCTGTTGGGGCAAGTGTTGTTACGAGGCCTATTAAGGCCGGCACGGAGCACAAAGTGGTGGTGTGGCCAGCGCCACGCCCAGCCACCTTTGTCTCTCTTCTGGCATACACATTGCACCATTTACGCATTTGAGGCCAAGTCGACTTAGGGGAGGCACAGGACTGGTTCGGATAATTGTTACTGGTGTTGGCCATGACAGCTTGCTGCTTCACGACCTCTCCCCAATCTCTCACAAACACACACACTCATATACATGCACAGGTACACACACATTCACATCGTCCATCAACACACATTGGTGTGTATACGCACGCACACTCGTTCCACCTGTGTAATGGCAGGAGGCGACAGGCATGTAAATAGGAGTTGCATTCACTTCCTGGGCATCTTAGTTTGCTCAGAGATACTGAGATAAACTCTAGGTGTGTGCACGCGCATGTACCGCGTGTGTATGTGTATTCATGCGCGTGCGTGCGTGCAAGCCACTGCTGCCAGGGTAAGGTTGCAGATGGCAAAGGGAATGATCGTAACTGGAAGCCGGCGATTGGCACATTGCGTTGTTGATGTTCTAAACGGGAGTGTCTCGTAACTTTATATAATCTGTTGAGCACCGGGCTTTCACGTTCAAACGTATGCGAAGCGCAGCGCTGTTCTCCCCTTGCGCACGATGGTAGCGATGGTGGCAGCAGCGGCAGCAGCGGCAGCAGCGGCAGTGCTGTGGTCCAGGAGCTCCGTGCCTGTTTGATAGCTGCTGCTGCAGCTGCCACGGCGAGAGACTGAGGGCTTCAGCAGATGGTCCATGTCGTGTCGCTATTCCTCTGCCTCCTCCTGTGTTGAAGGAGCACAGGCCACAGGGTTTACTGTACCGTCCGTTGTCGTTGTGTAGTCAGCGATATTAATAATGATTTAACACGTCAGCTTTCGAGACCAATATTATTCATAATAACGGCTTTTGGGTGAGATCACGTAAGTATAAATGTGTCGTAACCTGCCACCACCCGACACAGCCAGTAAGGTAAACACGTAAACAAAACGTTAACATTGACATTTTAAAACGTTGTGGATTTACTCTCCAACACACCGGTGGGCTGCAGGAGTAACAAATTGGCGCGTTGTGTTTACGTGATAAACCTTCCTGGCTGTGTCGGGTCATGGCGGGTTACGACACATTTCTAACCCCAAAACTTTTATTATGATTAATAATGATTGTCTGTTATTCCCTACATGGTTTGCATCTTTGTTTTGATCTTATTTTTTGTTTCCCTTTCAAACTTATAATTTGCATTGGCAGTCCTGGACCTGCCCTGGGTCTACTCGGCCTTGAACGAGTACCTGGTGCGGTGTGTAAACATCACTACTCGGGAAGACAAAGGCGGCAATGCGTGGTGTTAGCCACTCACCGCTTCGTGTGCCCTGCCGGCCTTCATCGGTGCTACTCGCTAACAGCACTTGCCCCGGTAGTTTGTTCAAGGCTACACGGGGGGATCTTTGTCTTGTTTCTTGAAAGTAGAGTAGTGCTGTGATCTTGTTTCATTCCACGAATCATTGGAAGCTTTTTCCTCGCCATTGCAACCGCTATTTATTTCCTTATTTAACTTTACCGTATTCTACATGTCACAACTCACTTTACACCCCGGTGTTTGAAAGAAAAATTGGGGGTGCGTCTGATTATCCGGTAGGTGTGCGCGTGTGTCTGTGTCTGAATATCTAAACCGGTCCTGGGCCTCCCCTAGGTCGACTCAGCATCAAATTAGTACCTGGTGCGGTATGTAAACATCACTACTCGGGGAGACAAAGGTGGCAGAGCGTGGTGCTGGCTACCCACTCCCTAGTGTGCCGTGCCGGCCTTCATAGGCGCTCGAAAGCAGCACTTGCCCCAACAGTCCGTGAAGGCTACATGGGGGATCTTTGTCTTTGTCACTAAGCACGGCTCCTCTCGGAGGCTTATTGCCATCGCGGCGTCACGACCTACAGTGCTCAGAGCACGTGAGAAGCAATTAATTGAACCAACAACTAAAGTTGTCTCAAATTGCTTCCAGTTGTGACAGAGCAAAACGAGCACGCTTAGCGGGCGCTGTGTTGCTAACTACCTACCACTGAAGACCTCATGAGCGGTCCGTGTGGCTTACTGGAAGGAGAGCGTGGAAACAAACGACACATCCTCAACGCGGTTGCAACGCGATGGGAACCGTAAATATCTGTTGGCAATTGTCAGATGGCGGAAATTGATATTTATTTGCACCATAAAATAGTATATTACGTCCGCATTAGAAACCACATTGACTGAGCAAGCATTGGTGGTTTTTCGGAATTGGTGTTAACAAAAAAAAAGCTGATCCTGTGTATTTTGGACAAAACGTGCGCGGTCATGACAATGTGCAGCAGCAGCCTCGTGTTAAAAGAGGGCCTTGAGTGTGATATCAGTCGTCAAGACTTATCCGGACGAGTGAACGTTCTGTTGCATCTCTCTTGGATATCTTGTCGGTTTTACGACTCAAGATAGATTCGTCATCTCCCCGGCTCGCCCCGAACTCCCGCTTCTGGTCACGGCTGCGCAGTGACCGGCGTGGTGAAGTACGGGCAGACGGTCGACGCTGCGTGGGGAAGCCTTCGTCCAGCATCGGATTGACGTGCGAACCCTGCGTAAGTGGCGTCGGCGTCGTTCTCCGAGCATCGTGCGCGACGGCATTGGCCGACGTAACGGGATCAAGGCCGTGTGAGGCGTCGTCTGGGGTGCACGTGACGGCCGAGTCCGATCACCGAGGCCGCGCCGCGGATGGCTGCAGCTTGCGCTCGCGCCGTAGTCTCTGCTGTTCCTTGGTCTCGGTCCTTTCACAGTGAACGCTCGCTCTGAACGTGCGCTGCGAACGAGCACTATGGATGCACGCTGGAATCGCGCGTTACGGACGCACGTGCTCCATTCACTCCAGCAGCTCACACAGAGCACTGCGAGATGCACAATGGAGTAACGCGATGTGCATCGTGATCAGAACACTGAAACTTTAACCAGTTCCCTGGCTCCCTGTTCTGGCAAACATTCTGCCACTAAGTATCTGCAGGATCATGCAACAATAACCACCTACCAATCAACCAAGACCTCCTTGGATCACGCTGCTGTCACCATCCTCGAATCTCACCCAGATCCAGAAGGATGCTGCTAGTGAACTCGGTGGGACAACGCAGACACCCGGAATAAACTCATTCCAGACCCAAACATCGCCCCTCCTCGCTTTGTCATCCCTCGGAGACCCTGGTGTGGCCAGCGAACCTCATCACAACACTGACATGCCCATGCACCCATCTCATTAAAGACAAGCCACGTGAGTGCAACAGTAGACTCGCAACCCAAACTATGGACCAAGAAAGTAAACCAGTGCGGTCCGTGCTCTTTGAACAGCGGAGGAGGAACAGCAAAGCCTCACCAACTCTTTCCTGCAGCCCTCTCGTCGTGGCTAGCAGACATGTTGCTGCTGCCACTATGCACAACAATGCGGTGCACATACGCAGGCCCGCCCCACAGCCTGCGGGCCGTTTGGCCGTTTGGTCTTGAGGCCGTAGCACGCTGGAAGTGGACCGGCGAAGCGGTGGGCCCTGGGACCGGCTCGGTCATCTTTCTCTCTCTCGCCACCGATGTAAGCCCTGGCTGAGAATCGAACTCGGGGTTCCTGGGTTCGTAGTGCGCTGCGCTAACCGCCGCAACTTCATCACTCCACCTGTCAACCATTCATCGTTAACCGTGGTCACTCCACTGCTGGATGAAGGCCTCAATGAGCCGCCACCACGTCTCGCTCAGGACCGGTTTCATTGATCCATCTCCCCGCTCGACGGACGGACTCTCAGACGCGTTTTCATTACTAACATTGCCTTATAATGGTGGTAAAATATATACAGCTGCCGTTGCAGGTAATGGGCTATCTAGAGAGTGGAGAGAGAGAGAGATTAGCTAACTTTATAGTTGGAGATTACATTTTACGATGTTCTTTGGAAATAAAGCATCAGGGCAGACCCTGGAGGTCACTGGGTGTCTACTGTGCAGCAGCAGCATTGGAATCGGGCAGAGGGGAGAGAGCGTGGGTGCGGTGGTGGCGGCGGTGCCGTCGACGGCTGTGGGCACAGTGGCATCTTCATCTTAAACTCGGTTTGTTGAGAAAACTAGAACATCGTGAGGGAGCGGACGCGAGCTCTCTGTGAATTGGCCTTCGAGCCGTTAACAGTTTGCTGCGCAGACGCCGAGGAGCAGACGCAGACCCTCTGCGTCGTCGAATGTCTCTACTTTGTGAAGTATTGGAATTGACGGCAGGAACTTCTTGACGGGTAACACAATTTTATTAAATCTTTACGTTCACAATACAACGTGTGGTCTCCTTTCTTCCGACTACACACTCCACTTAACTCGTGTAGACTCTATGGTTCTGACTACACCCAATACACTTGACTCGTGTAGACCCTATGCCTCTGGCTACACACAATACACTTGACTCGTGTAGACCCTATGCCTCTGGCTACACACAATACACTTGACTCGTGTAGACCCTATGCCTCTGGCTACACACAATACATTCGGCTCGTGTAGAC